TGATTTAACGTCACGGCACGACGCGAATCACTTCCTGCCTCCACTTCGAACTTATGAATTGGACCCCAAATTTTAATTCAAGCTTATGATCATGCTCCTAGGGTGGTGGAACGAATCTGACTGGCCCAATAAAATAATGTAGTATTCTGCACTTCTTGGCCTTTAAATGAGGTGTGTAATCCCGACTTTCTGGCAAGAAGAATTCCAGAATGCAGGCATCTTGTTCCTTATCCCTTGACTCCTCATGTGGCTCGGACGACACTATTTCCATATCATCATCCAAACACAATGTGAAAAAATGCTTGAAGTGTGGATCAATGCTCTCAACTACATAAATATTGGGATTGTCAACATCCTCAACACTAGTGACACTAGAGTCAACTAAATATGTATCCTTAATATCCTTGGTTGACTCTAGTATCTCTTCTACGACATCGGCATCCTCAAAATCTTGTTCGATTGATTGTTGGTGTTCTACTCTGGACTTCTCTTCTAGCTCATCCCCGTATTTTTTTAAATCTTTTAGTATAATGGCAATTTCTGCAGCCAATTCATGCTCATATTGGCTACTATCCACAATGCCAACTTGTTGCATTTTACAAGGTTCAATTAATTTATTCGTTTGAGCATCCAAGTTGTGAATAGTTGTCGTTTGCCTTTGTATCTGCCATGTTTTCTCATCATATTGTTCCACATGTATCACGACCCTAAACCCGAACTTGATCGTGATGGCGCCTCTCGTGAAGACAAGGCCAGCCGACATGTCCCCACTTCCATTTTAAGCAATTAAAATAATAAGTATTAAGCCTTTAACATGATAAAATCCCAAAATAAGCAGTGAACAGTACAATTTGTGGAATTAAAACCAACATAGCCCGACTTCGGGGTGTCACCGGTCATGAGTATCTATCAATATACTACAAGTCTGAAGAGTCTACTCAGCTACTACAGAATCACTAACAAGAGAAAAGAAATGAGATAGGGGGAGAAACACGGGGCTGCGAATGCCGAGCAGCTACCTCGTGAACTCTGAAATCTATCGAGAGCTCTCAACCCTCGCAAGCAGGATCTGCAGCGCCTGAATCTGCACATGGAGTGCAGGGAGTAAAGTGAGTACTCCAACTCAGTGAGTAATAATAATAAATAAAGATTGGGAAATAAGAAATCACGTAAGGCACATTTCAGGCTATAAGGAAGCAGGAAAAACTAGTAAAAGTAATGAAATAGTGAAAATATGCAAAGTCACTTTAGTTCAGTTAAAACTTCTTTGGAATGCCTTTTAACAATTAAGCAAGTAAATGACATGCAATTAGGAAAGATAAACACATAAAGAACTACTTCTCTGGCACAATACCACAGAATCAGCCCCTCGGACAACACATGGAACAATACCAGCCCCTAGGGCTCTATCTCTTATCACAATGGGTACCCGCACACACTGGGGGTATGCAGACTCCTGGAGGGGCCCCTTACGGCCCAAGCGCAATATCAAGTAATCTTGTGGCATCATCACTAGGCTCTCGGTCTCATATCAACAAAACACCTTGTAGCGTACAAATCTCAGGCCCTCGGCCTCATAATCATAATCAGTGTATCCTCACAACACAGGCCCTCGGCCTTACTCAATCAGAATCTCGTAAGCCACTCAGGCAATAGTAAAACATGATGCTCAGCCCAAATTATCATTTAAAATATCATTTAATGTGTTAAAATAAGTAAATATAGTTGTGTTATAAAAACAATAGATTATAGCATGATTGAGTACAAGTACAAAGTCAAACTAGTGAGGAAATATCAGTAAAAATCCCCTAAGGGTTCAAATAATTGGCATGAGGCCCAAATATGGCATTCAGCCCAAAACATGATGATAGCAAATAGTTTTCAATCAAATACACGGTAAAACAGTCATACGGAATGGACTAAATTACAATCCCCCATGGTGCACGACCCCACGCTCGTCATCTAGCGTGTGCGTCATCTCAATATAGCACAACGATGTGCAATCCGGGGTTTCATACCCTCAGGACAACATTTACAATCATTACTCACCTCAATCCGATCCAATCTCTAGCCTGCGACGCCTTTGACCCTCGAATCGACCTCAACTCGCGTCGAATCTATCCAAAATCAGAACCACGACGTCAAAGTATGTTAAGGGAACGAAGCTCATACGAAAATAATCAATTTACAACATCTCTCGAAATTACCAAAACTCTGACCCCCGGGCCCACGTCTCGAAATTCGATAAAATTCATATCAATAGATTCTTTATCTCCCCACGAGTTCATACATATCAAAAGTCCCAAAATTCGACCACAAATGGCCCATCAAATCCTCAAGTCTAGGTCTCCAATACCAAGTCCTAGTTTTCCCAATTTGACCTTTAAATTCCATTAATTACAGCTCTAATCTATGAAATAATACCATAGAAATGAGTTTAAGTTCCAAAATCCTTACCTCAATGAAATCCCTCTTCAAATCTCCCAAAAAGCTCCAAAAGCAGACTTAGAAATGGTGGAATAGCTCAAAAATCGCGAACGAAATAATTTATACCTTCTGGCCAATGCATTTCGCATATGCAGCCCCTTCTACTGCTTCTGCGGTACCGCTTTTACGGTCAATGGACCGCTTCTGCAGTTATCACTTAAATCCTCCATTTTCACATCTGCGATGCCCAATCCGTACCTGCGCCATCGCAAGTGCGGTTCTTCAACCGCTTCTGCAGTTTCTACCTTCCCAGGCCCTCTCCACTTCTGCGATTCAAATCTCGCTTCTGCGAGACCGCACCTGCGGTCCCCTAGCCGCAGGTGCGGTTATGACAGCAATGGGAAACTTCAGTTGTCACAACCAACTCCAAATCTTTCCGCCAACCATTCGAAATCACCCCGAGGCCCCTGGTACCTCAACCAAAAGCACAAACACATCATATTCCACCATCAAACCTCATACCAATCTTCAAAACATTTCAAACGACATCGAATCAACCAAAAACACATCGGATTCAAGCCTAAGTTTCCAAAATCTTTTGAATTACTCCTTTGATCAAAAAGTATACCAAACCACGTCCAAATGACCTGAAAGTTTGCACACATATCCCAAATGACACAACAGAACTACTTCAACTCCCAAAATTCAATTCTGACCCCTATATAAAAATCTCACCCATCAACCGGAAAATGCCAAAAATCCACTTTCGCCAATTCAAGCCTAAATCTACTCCAGACCTCTAAAACACATTCTGATCATGCTCCTAAGTCCTAAATTACCTCCCGAAGCTATCCAAACCATCAGAACTCACATCTGAGTCCTCCAATACATAAGTCAACATCTGGTTGACTTTTCCAACTTAAGCTTCTTCAAAAGCGACGAAGTGTCTCAAACCTTCTCAAAACCTTTCCGAATCCGAGCCAACTAACCCGATCACGTATAGAACCGATAAATAAAGCAATAAGAAGCAGAAATGGGAGAAACAGAGCAGTAACTCATGAGACGACTGGCCGGGTCGCCACAATATGGTACTTTAACATATCCATGGTCAGCTTTAACATATCTTCGATTTTCTTCAAGTCAGCTTCCTAGTGTTCTTTGATCCTATTAACTTCACCAGAAAAAGTAGAACCATTATAGTAAGGGGTTGGGGGAGGATAAGACAAATAATCACAACAATGAAAGTGACCATCTTAACCACTACAAAAATCACATACATTCCACACATAAGATTGAGTTGGTGCACATAACTCGCTCTCAGGAAAATTTTGACAATTTTGCAATGGGTGGTTTCCTTCACAATATGCATAAGGAGGATTAAAAGTAGAGTTACCAACATTAAAATTCTCATAATTCCAAGATACCATGTCTCTCAAGTCAAAAAAAAATCAAATGCAAGAGAACAAAAATAAAAGTTCAAACTTGCAACCTATAAATATGTACACCTACAACTATGTCGTTAGTTCCCCGGCAACAGTGCCAAAATTTGATCACACCCAACTATACCTTATAAAAAGGACTAAGCGGTCGTTGCAAATATAATCCGGTTTACAAGTCCGGAGTCGAATCCTATAGAGAACTAAGGCTTAGCTACAACTGTTCACTATCACCAAGAAGACAAGCTTGAATAATTCCTAACTTATAGATATTAAGATTCTTGTGTTTAACTAAATAAGTAACAAATTAAAATAGTAAATTAACAACTAAATATACTAAGGTTTAGAAACAAGATTAAGGAGGTCTACAGGTATGATTTTCCCATTATCAGAATCCTTCCCGCTACGTTTTCTATAAATTCGCCTAAGTATTCTCTACCGATCATGAGCGCTCTGACCGTCGTAACTCTCTCTCGAGTAATTACCACAATTTACTAGATATATTCTCCTGAATTACGCTAGCTGACATTAATTACGGCTCACTCGGATCGCACCCAAGGTTTCGTTATCCCTAATCCCACCTTTAAACCCTTCATATTGATCCCTCATATACGTTAGGAGTGATATTGTTCAACAACTACCTAAATATGCACTCTCTCTCGAGTAATACATACTAAATAGGCACAGTCGATTGAGAGCTCTTCAACCAACCACAATAATAACATAGTTTAACAATTAGAGAAAATACTATGGCAAATATATATTAACATAACAGGAAAATCATCCTCCAATAGGTTCCATCAAAATCCTAAATAAGAAATTAGCTATTCATAATAGTATGCAAAATTACAATGCTATAATTCATAACTAATAATGGAAATAGGAATAAGGAAGTGAAAAACTCGTAGAAGAATTCTCCTCCTTGCTCCTAGTGTATTTTTGTCTCCTTAGGTCGAATCCCCAATCTCCTTAGCCTCCTTAGGTCTAAAGTGTTTCAAAAGTATATCCCTTTCTCTCTCTCTCTCAAAATAGCATTTTTACATGTATTTATACCAAGTAGGGTCGGGTCCAGACAAAAATACCTTCTCCCACGCAAAATTGGACAATCACTCTGTAAGATTTGCACTATCGCACCGCATGGGGCGACGTTCCATGCGTGGCGACAGTGGGAAAGTTCAGATCGCTGATTCTGTTAGGCTGCAGAAAATTTCCACAGGTGTGGTGCATCGTGCACCGCTCGACGCCGCGGTATTGGGAATTCGCAAAAAATCAAAATAGGAAAGTTGTAATCCTTTCCAATAACTTTCCAACGATATATTGTGGAGCCCAAACAGAGTTTTGAGCAAAAATATATGTGCATTTTACTAGACACTGCACTGTATGCCCGCTCGATTCTTTGTTTCATTCTTAACTATCATCCGTTGATCCCGGAACACGATCCCTGCTTAATTTCTTGGGATTTTACTCAGAATTCAAAGCTTCAAATCACTTGAATTCATTCCATCATATCTACATAGCTCAGAATAACTCCTACAAGGCATAAAATACGCAATTAGTGCAAAATACTAGCGATTAAAGATCAAACTCAATTAAAGTGCAGTACATTATAGTGTAATAAGTGACTAAAATATACAACTATATCCTATCATCATTGATCTATTTATTTAATTGTCTCTCAGATTAACAATGACTACTTTCAATCCCCTTACTGCTATTCTTACTTAAAACAAACTCGAGGGTCCGAATTATGTTGATTGAAAACGAAACTTGGATATTGTCCTAATTGTTGAAGAATACAAATTTGTGCTCGATGAGGTGTGTCCAGAAAAACCTAGAGATGATGCTACGGATGATGAACAAAAGGCTTACCAAAAATGGGTTAAGGCTGATGAGATGGTGTGGTGTTATATTCTGGCATCCATGTCAAACATTCTGCAACATCAGCATCAGTCTATGGAGTCTACTTATGACATTCTAGAAAATCTCAAAGAAATGTTTGGAGATCAGAATCGTGCGGCTAAGCAGACTGCCATGAAAGCTCCTCTGAATACCAAAATGGTTGAAGGTTCATCTGTTAGGGACCATGTTCTGAAGATGATAAGTCTTCTGAATGAACTGGAGGTCCTTGGAGCTAACATTGATAAGGATATGCAGGTTGAAATGATATTGCAGACTCTGCCTGATAGTGTTTAGCAGTTTTGCATGAATTATAACATGAACAAAATGGATTTGTCACTTGCAAAATTGCTGAATAAGCTGCAGTCGGCAGAGACTATTATCATGCAACAAGCTCCTCATGTGGCATTGAATTTTAAGCCAGGTTCTTCTTCTAAGCCGAGAGGCAGGCAAAAGAAGAAAAAGGCTCAGAAACCCTCTGTTGGTGGCACAACTGCTGGTGTGAAAAAGGTTAAGGGCAAGTGTTATCACTACAAGCAGCCTAAGCATCATAAGAAGTAGTGTCCGACTTATCTAGCCAAGTTGAATAATAAACTAGGTAATTTACATCTACTTGTCATTGAAACTCTTTTAGCGATTGTTTCTACCATGTCATGGTGTGTAGATTCGGGAGCCGCTAATCATGTCTGCACTTATTTGCAAGAGTTTCAGGTAACGCGGCGGATAAGTAGAGGAGAAATCAATGTTTATCAAGCAGATGGTTCGGCAGCCCCAGCTTTAGCATTAGGAAATAGTAGTATTTCGTTTGGTAGTGATAGAGTTTTAACTTTAAAAGACACATTATATGTATCTTCCGCTAGAAGAAATTAATTTCGATTTCTAGCGCTATGAGAGATGGTTATGACATTAATTTTCATGATATTGCTAAATGTGTTATTAGTCATAATAAACGTCATCTCTCTTTGGCTACGTTGATTAATGCTATTTTTATTGTTGACTCTATTCCTAAACCGTTACAATCTAAAGAACTGAATTATGTTTATTTACCAAATAAGAGAAAACATTCTTCTGAATTGAGTGAAACATATTTATGGCACTTGCGTTTGGGTCATATAAATCTAAACATAATTTCAAGGTTGGTTAAGGATGAACCTTTAAGTTCATTAAAAGTGGAGGCACTACCGACTTGTGAATCGTATTTAGAAGGAAAAATGACAAAACGAAATTTTCCCTCAAAAGGAAATCGAGAAAGTGATAAATTAGAGTTAATTCATTCTGATTTGTATGGAAACTTAGTTATCTGAAAAACAAAATGACCTGATGCAAAACCTAGAAGTCGATTTTGACATACCATTGCATTTTAGTAGTGGGAGAAATGACAACAAACTTGATGTCCTACAAGAACAAGTGCCCGAAGTCATACTACCACAAAGTAATGGGAGTTAAGTTGAGCAGACTGCACAACAAGAAGAAGTCGTTGATATCCCTGTGGATAGCATGGAGACTTAGGTTCCTGATAATGATGTGGTTTAACCACAAGATCATAATAGTGTAGTTGCAGCTGATGTAGTGCGTAGTCGTAATAGGAGAGAAATAAGACAGCCAGTTCGTTATACGCTCTTGGGAGAATCATATGATAGGATCCCTGAGGAGACTGCTTCCGAACCTAGCAATTACGACCAAGCACTACATGATAAAGATGACGATAAGTGGGTTGTTGCTATGAAATCAGAGATGGGGTCTATGTACTCTAATCAAGTCTAGGATCTTGTAGAACCACCTGATGGGGTAAAACCCATTGGATGCAAGTGGATCTATAAGAAAAAGAGAGGTGTAGACGGAAAAGTGCAAACTTTTAAAGTAAGGTTTGTAGCAAAAGGGTTTACTCAGAAAGAAGGGATCGATTATGAGGAAACTTTCTCGCCGGTAGCCATGCTTAAGTCTATTAGAATTCTCTTATCCATTGCTGCTCATTATGATTATAATATTTGGCAAATGGATGTCAAGACAACTTTCCTTAATGGAAGTCTTGATGAGTGCATCTATATGATGCAACCAGACGGTTTCGTAGAAAGTGAACACATGTTGTGTACGCTTAAAAGGTCCATTTATGGACTGAAACAGGCATCCAAGGCATGGAACACTTGCTTTGACAAGGCGATTAAAATTTTTGGTTTTGATCAGTGTCTTAACGAGTCTTGTGTATACAAAAAATGGGATTGGGACAAAGTGGCGTTTTTGATCTTATATGTAGATGGCATATTACTCATAGGAAATAATATGGGCATGTTGGGTTCAGTTAAACAGTGGTTGTCCACGCACTTCGATATGAAAGATTTGGGAGAAGCGGCTTATATCCTTAGGATCAAGCTCTTGCGAGATCGCAAGAAAAGGATATTAGGCTTATCCCAAGCTCTTTATATTGATGCAATACTCTCCAGGTTTAGCGTGCATGATTCCAAGAAAGGATTCCTCCCTTTCAAGCATGGAGTTTCTCTATCTAAAGATCAGTCTCCTAAAACTGATGCAGAGATAGAAAAGATGAAGGTGGTCCCCTATGCATCTGTTGTGGGGAGTCTGATATATGCTATATTATGTACTATACCTGATATCTGCTTTGTCGTTGGCGTTGTTAGCAGATTTCAGTCTAATACTGGGAGAGAGAATTGGACAGCGGTTAAGCATATAATCAAATACCTGAAAAGGACTAGGGATTACATGCTAGTCTACCATTCGGATGACTTTGTGCTATTTGGGTACACTAATTCGGATTTCCAATCAGATAGAGATTCTAGAAAGTCTACCTCAGGAAATGTGTTTACTCTGGGAGGTGGAGCCATAAGTTAGAGGAGCATCAAGCAAACTTGTGTTGTTGATTCCATCATGAAAGTCGAATATGTGGCTACCTCTGAGGCAGCCAAAGGGGCGGTTTGGCTCGGGAATTTCCTAAGAAAGTTGGGTGTGGTTCCCTTTATTCAAGCACCAATAACATTTTATTGTGATAATAGTGGTGTGGTTGCTTATTCGAATGAGCCAAGAAGCCATAAAAGAGTAAAGCACATTGAGTGTAAATATTATTTAATTCGTGAGATAGTGCAAAGAGAGGATGTAGTAGCCACCAAGATTGCGTCGGAGAACAATTTGGCGGACCCGTTTACTAAGAGCTTGCTACACAAGACTTTTAATAGGCATGTAGACGGAATGGGTGTCAGAATTGTAGACGCATGGTTATGAGTCTAAGTAGGAGATTATTAGGATATACTATAAACCATGCGTATTGTTATAGTATTATTTATGGAACAATTATTTATTTTTTATTCAATTCAATAAAATTTTATTTTAAATAGATCATGGATTTGTTTGTGCGCCCGTTGCTTATATAGTAGATGATTTAGTGTATAGAGTTTAACGTATATACGAAAGATTAAATCATCGGTTCTGATAAGTCATAAAGTTTATGTTCACAATCTAATGATGGAATTGGACAAACCATGGGAATGATAGTAGCACAAGATTAAATATAATTTATCTTGATTATGGGAATAGTTTAATTACACTTCTTGTGCTAGTATATTTTGTATGTATTGAACGGATCAAGTAGAGATAAGTATTTTATACTGACTTAATAAAATAATTTTTCTAGTCCATTCAATGTACTTATACTCTTAAACTTGATAAAATTATTATTAGTTGTGTGTGTCATTTATTGTTTTGATTTATTAAAAGGCGAGATTCTTTCGTGGGTCAATAAGCCTGGTAAATTGGACAATAATGATATACATTGGTAAAGTAATAATTAGTTGATAGAATTCATATCTCGGTTTTTGAGATTGATGTAAGCTTATAAGTTTTCATGTGTAAACCCGGCCGATGAATTTTGTATCTGACACATGAATTAAGTTAAGCGAAAGTCTAAAGGAATCAATAAATTAAATAGTCAGTAATTTAATTTGATTGGTTAGTATTTGAATCTTAACATGGGGAGTTAAATAAGGTGTTATGGAAGAATTTCGAAATTGAACTAAGGAGTGCAATTACGAATTTTTAGTGGAATAATTCGTAATTTTTTATGGTAGAATTGTTAATTAAATTTTGTGGTCCCTACTGCGCCTAAATAATAGGAAATAAAGGAAACCTTTCCTTAGTGGAAAAAGAAAACCTAACACGTTTTGGAAAATGGTTTTAACCTAAAAATTGTGGCTATATATACTCCATATAGGGCTGACGTTTTTGCACTGGTTTTTACACGTTTTCATCCTTGGAATTTCGCCCACCCAAAATTCTCGCTTTTCGGATATTATTTGGATAACACGGTAGAAGACTGTGGAGGTTTTGCTGAGATCGCAGTCTTGCAACTCTGGAACTGGAGACTGAGATTAATCTGTTTTGTTCACGTTTCAAGAGGTAACTCAAATAATCTCCGTATGTATTAATTGTTTAATTTATACGTGAATACGATACTGTAATTGCTTTCGCTGCTGCGATATATAATCCAACACCCCCTTGCCCCCTCTTTTAGTTTCCTGCTTTGGTAATCAGTAGCTTTATCCGAGATTTTCGGTAAATTAAAAGTTTGCTATAAGTCGTAATCGTAGTAGAATTAGTACATTGGAAGATATTTAAGACCTTAAATTATTCCTGGAAGAAATTACCGTGACTATTTCTGTTTTATAACCATGTCATTATCACGTAAAATGTAGTAGTAATATTCAACAGTGAAAAGAAAGTGGAGTAGTTGACCAAACTTCCTGGCTGTTTAAGCATTTAATATTCTTGATAATTTGAAATTTACTTGTGTAATCATGATCATCATTGTTGTTACAGTTCTTAAGTCTATCATTATGGAACCTAACAGTCTCAACGCACTATGTAATTTCTGCTTGTGCTGTTTTGCTGTTCCAAAAAATTATATATTTAGATTGACCAAATAGATACTCCATAGTTGACCATACAATTTCATTGATTTAATCGAATATTTCGACAGCTTATAATTAATTTGTTGATATGATAATAAAGTGGACAAACAAAGAAAGCCCCACTCAGTCGCCCATGTTCTGAATCAAGTAGCAACGAAATGCTGCTATTTTGCGATGAACAAATAACGTTACAAAATAATAAGAAAATCTACGTTCGAAGTTAAGGAAAATATTTTTAGTAGAAAATCTACTGTCCAACATCATCCGATGAAAAACTCGTGGCTGCTGGTGTTGGGGGAGAAACATCGGTCTGATTGGACTTCAAAAATCCAAGCTTTTTGATGAGCTCTTTAGCAATTAACTCGTTAGCACTATCAGAAGGATGATATTCATCCCAAAAAACATATTTGCTTCTGTCACTGCACAATGTCGATGCTGGAATACACGTTAAAGCTGGCCTAATTCTTCCGAATGAGCAGCATGGTGAATCAGAGTTACTAAAACCTGCAATATTTCCAGAGGAATTGGTTATTAATTTTACACTAACAATATAAAGAATTTTTATTCGATCGCTATAGTTTAGCTTGCTATAGCATGTTAGTTATCAATTTTACATGGATTTTCAATCAAAATTTTCCATGTAAGCCGATTCCTTAGCTCCTGAATTGATGCTGCAAATCTTAATTTAGCCGCATGATTTCTCATCTTACCAAGAATTGCTTTAAAATTGTGAACATAGAGCTAAAGGCTTCAAGTTTATGCGTTTATCCCTCTACGATAGAAGAAAACGCGAAGGACTAACCAATCAACTTGATTCTCCGAGGTTTAGGGCTCGTTTGGTACGAGGCACAAGGAATAATTAATTTTGGGACTAAATTTAAGAAGAGTTTATTCTATATTTGGTTAGGGGAAAATTGCAGTATAATTAATCCCAGGATTGTAATTTTTTTTTAATAACTAATCCCGAGATAACTAATTCCAGAATAATTAATCGCGGGATAACATCTTTCCAACCAAATGACCCCTTAGAGTTTCATAGGGAAAGGTCTACCCCTTCCTTAGATTCCTTTTATTTTTGCCCCGATTAGGCTTCATCTTATTATCGGTTACTGATTAATGTTTATCATAAATATTTATACGAAACTACCTTATAGTGACATAATAATGTAAATATTTTTTACACTTTGTACAAAAAATTTAAGCTCTTCATTAGATTAACCTAACATTAATGTAATTCTAAATAATTTTTAGCTTCATTTAGATTGTTAATAACAATGTGTAGTATAAGCTTGTACCATAATTGCCGGGATTGGTAATGACATCGTTGACAACATCATATGCATCTCCAAACTTGTAGCTTGCATTTGGAAGAGTGTTGGACAATTCTACGACAAGTTCGTTTGTTGCTTTGTTGAAGGCTAGAGCCAACTGATTAGTCTTGTCTTGACACTGTCCATCTGTACTTAAAACTCTTTGAAGTGGAATACACCCCATTGGTCCGAGCCCAAACACCATCAACTCCCTTGCCCCCAAACTATGCAACAACTAAAAAAAAATTGTAAAAAAGAAATAACGTTAGTGGTTCAAAAATTACGAATTTATTCAGGAAATTGGCAATGAGAAAAAAAAAACTGATAATGGCTTACTATAAGTTGTGCTCTGAGAGTGTCCATTAAGTATTGAATAAAAGATTTATCAGTGTAAGTCCATGAATCACTGTAAACTGGCATTAAGTAATTGTTGATGAAATCATTGCTTCCCAGGGCGACAACGTATCGTGCTTGTTGGAAAAATTTCTCAGCTTCTTTGCTTCCTAATTTTTCTCTAATTAAGTCTTGTGTTCCTTGAAATAATTCTATTTGCTTGTATAAGGAAAACCTCTGTATCTGCACTTACAAATTGATCAAACTTCAACAGTGTCTAGACATAAACTAAACACTAATTAATATTTTTTCAATGATATATATATATATAGGAGAGTTACTTACGAAATAGGTGCCTGTCTCGTTTAGAATTCCACCACCACCAGAGGCAAAATTGACTCCGTCCTCCAATATGACATCTTCTGTTAACGATTGATTTAGATATGCTGGTGGCCGTGGAAGTCCCATTTCGTCACCTGCACAATAGGTATAGTTAACACTTAACACTAGCTTAGATACTTAAATACTCGATGATCGTAAATACTACATTGGAAATGTTACCTATTATATCAGCAACAGTACGGCCATTGCAGAATCTACCATTAGGCAATCCATTTCCAAAATCAATACCATACCATGGCAAGTTCGCGCGAGCAAGGCTTTTAGAGAGGAAGTTGTTGTTGCCAACATCTGAAAGAGAGTCCCCGAAGATGAATTGTACAATCTTGCAATTGCAACCTCCAAGTAGAAGAGTTAAAATTGTCACAAAAATTGGCAAGGTTAGTGTGAGCTTCATGATATAAGGCTTTGAAATTTTATTTTAGGAATAATGAGACCTTGTTACCTTTTAAATGTTACAAAGAAAAGGAAAGTGTAAGCATCGCATCGCATCAGCTGAGGAAGTTGGAATTTTTGGAGAGAAATGGAGATAAAGAAGGGTAGAGTTTGATAAACCAACCATCTAAGAAATTCAAACCTACTACATCTACCTTCAGTTCTGTTACAACGATTCAAGTCTAACAAACATAAGTTGCGTATTATCTACATTAATTGGGTATTTAATTACATCCCTCTCTTACATCAGTCAAATTAAAGTGCATGAAATCCTAACACCAATTTGGGTTTTAACTCTTTTCCCTCTAATTACAGATAGCCAAGTCTCTACTCTCTACTAACACTTCTCAGGGTTATTAGATTCTCAAGTCAAATCCATATATTAGGTAGCATATTTGCAGAATTTTTTTTGAAGTACCATATCTGCTGATTTTGGACTTCTAATAAGACAGAGAGCAGTGATATAAATTTCAAGTTCCTTTTCAACTTTAAAATGAAGCCCAAGAATTTTGATTCCAGTCCAAAGCTGAGTAAAGGTGCTAACCAAATATCTTGGAATTGGCAACTGGTGCACTAAATTTGGCGTCAGGCCCAGTTACGCTTTTATACAAATTGTTGACACTTCACTAACAAATGAATTTATATAAAGCTAATTAAATGGTGATCCAGACTTGGACTAAACAATATATTGATCCCAATTTCATAAGTAACAAATTCATATTTTTCTTCTTGTGAAAAGATTATAAGTTATTTATCCACTGGTTATTTATGGGCTATGATGAGAAAGAATTAGTCAAACTTAGATGCAATAATTGAAAATTTGAAGATAAAAACAAAACTCAGCACCAAAATCTCCTACAACACAAATATTGCGCCAAGCTCATTTTCACTTAACAGATCTTTTGATGAGCAATTGATTTACTTAAGATCTTTTTTGAGGAGCAATGGACCAATACATATATCTGAGCACTGTGAGCCACATTCTCAAAAACTATACGTGGCAGAATGTAAGCCACTTGTACCATCATGCAAAATTGAAGCCCCATACTATGAAAGAAAAAAACGAAAAACACAAGCAACAAATCAAGAATCTATCCCCATTATCCAAATCCAATCGTAGCCCTCAATCCTTTTTCATCAACGGCACTCATTCCCTTAATATCCCCAACCATATCCATCAAAATCATACAAAAAATTTCATAAAAACTCCACACTTTCACCCCACTCACTCTCCACACACTAAACCATGGCTTCCATTGCTCTCAAAACTTTCACCGGCCTCCGTCAATCCTCGCCGGAAAACAATTCCATTACCCTCTCTAAATCCCTCCCCTTAACCCAAACCCACCGTAGGCTCCGAATCAATGCTTCCAAATCCAGCCCAAGAGTCAACGGCCGCAATCTTCGTGTTGCGGTGGTGGGCGGTGGTCCTGCTGGTGGCGCCGCCGCTGAAACACTCGCCAAGGGAGGAATTGAAACCTTCTTAATCGAACGCAAAATGGACAACTGCAAACCCTGCGGTGGGGCCATCCCACTTTGCATGGTGGGAGAATTTGACCTCCCTTTGGATATCATTGACCGGAAAGTTACAAAGATGAAGATGATTTCCCCNTTCGTGTTGCGGTGGTGGGCGGTGGTCCAGCTGGTGGCGCCGCCGCTGAAACACTCGCCAAGGGCGGAATTGAAACCTTCTTAATCGAACGCAAAATGGACAACTGCAAACCATGTGGTGGGGCCATCCCTCTTTGCATGGTGGGAGAATTTGACCTCCCTTTGGATATCATTGACCGGAAAGTCACAAAGATGAAGATGATTTCCCCGTCCAACGTTGCCGTCGATATCGGACAGACCTTAAAGCCTCACGAGTACATCGGTATGGTGCGCCGCGAAGTACTCGATGCTTATCTCCGTGACCGTGCTGCTGAAGCCGGAGCCTCTGTTCTCAACGGCTTGTTCCTCAAAATGGACATGCCCAAAGCCCCAAACGCACCTTACGTCCTTCACTACACAGCTTACGACTCCAAAACTAACGGCGCAGGAGAGAAGCGCACCCTGGAAGTTGACGCCGTTATCGGCGCTGACGGCGCAAATTCCCGTGTCGCAAAATCCATCAACGCCGGTGACTACGAGTATGCTATTGCTTTCCAAGAAAGGATTAGAATTTCAGATGATAAAATGAAGTATTACGAGAATTTAGCTGAAATGTACGTCGGAGATGACGTGTCCCCTGATTTTTACGGGTGGGTTTTCCCCAAGTGTGACCACGTTGCCGTTGGCACTGGCACAGTCACCCACAAAGCTGACATTAAGAAATTCCAGCTAGCTACAAGACTGAGAGCCGATTCCAAAATCACTGGAGGAAAAATTATCCGGGTGGAGGCCCACCCGATTCCAGAACACCCTAGACCGAGAAGATTACAAGACAGAGTTGCATTGGTTGGTGATGCAGCAGGGTACGTGACAAAATGTTCAGGCGAAGGGATTTACTTCGCGGCAAAGAGCGGACGTATGTGTGCTGAAGCAATTGTTGAGGGTTCAGAAATGGGAAAGAGAATGGTGGACGAGAGTGATTTGAGGAAGTATTTGGAGAAATGGGACAAGACTTATTGGCCAACGTACAAGGTGCTTGATATATTGCAGAAAGTATTTTACAGGTCGAATCCGGCGAGGGAGGCTTTTGTTGAAATGTGCGCAGATGAGTATGTGCAGAAGATGACATTTGACAGCTATTTGTACAAGAAAGTGGCACCAGGAAACCCCATTGAAGACTTGAAGCTTGCTGTGAATACCATTGGAAGTTTGGTGAGAGCTAATGCACTAAGAAGGGAAATGGACAAACTCAGAGTATAAGAGGATTAATAGCATTAATATTTTTCTTGTAACTGAAGAGTTTATTTCTCAAATTACTCTGTAAACACCTTTCATCCTTCCTTCAATAGGATTTATGTAACTTCATGATTTGAGCTACATTTCTTCTGACAGGCTTGAGTTGATCATTATTGAACTTGGTTTAATTTTTGAATTCACATTCATTATAATAACTAAGCTATGTAACGCTGGGATAACTTGATGTTGAATGCCAAATTAAGAATGACAAAATAGGAGTAGAGATCTAGACTAAATCGCAATTGCATGCAATGAAGAAGAAGATTCTGCAAAACTAACTTATTTAGTGCAGAGTATCTGATTTTATACAAATCCCCTCACACGAGTCACGGGTGTGATAAGGGTAAAAAGACTAAAATACCCCTGCCAGCTAACATAACTAAACTAACATAACTACCAAGTCTTCAATATTCCCCTCAAAACAAAGGGTGGAAGACATCCAACACTCCAAGCTTGGAAATTAAAGAGTGATGTTGAGCTGCAGATAAACCTTTGATGAGCAAATCAGCAAGTTGCAATGCAAAACTAACATGGTGTGGTGTGAGGAGCCCTGTCACGACCCAATCCCCGAACCCGGTCGTGATGGCGCCTCTCGCGGAGACAAGGCCAGCCAGACCGAAACGGAACACCTCTTTTAAACAGTTAATCATCATAAACAGTAGTAACATATAATATAATATTCATAAATTGCGGAATTTAACGATAATAACAGCAGGAACCATCCCGACACAGCCCAAACCGGGGTGTCACAAGTCATGAGCTACTACAGAATCTGCTATAGGTCTACAAAGTACGGAATCCGATACAACAGTCTGAAGAAAACATAAATGATAAAGGATAAGAGAGACAAGGGGTTGCGGACGTCAACAACTACCTCGTAACTCCAAATCACTGCCTAGCTTGGAAGGAATCAACGCTCAGGTGCGGACTCTGCTATACCTGAATCTGCACACATGGTGCAGGGAGTAATGTGAGTACTCCGACTCAGTGAGTAACAATTAAAAATAATGGCTGAAAGTATGAAAACACGTAAAGGCACAAAGCAATTCCATATCAAGTAGTAAAATCACTTAAAGCAGTAAATCAGTGAAGAAATCAAATGATATTCCTTTTTAAAACAAGTAAAACAGGTAACTTAACAGGTAATTAACAAGTAGAAATCCGCCTCTCGGGCACAGTATCAATCGCTCAGCGTAGTATCAGCCCTTCGGGCTCATTCTCAGTACAGTATCAGCCTCTCGGGCTATCTCACAATCACTCAGCATAATGGTCAGCCATTGTTACCTGACCAAATTGCATCATACAGTGTCANAAAAAGTGGCTGAGTTTGCAAAAGAGTAGATATCAACAGGACTGAGTTCAAATAATAAGTCAAGCAGTAAGGAAAACAGTGATAAAAATCCCCGAATGGTTCAAATAGTTGGCACGAAGCCCAAATATGGCAATCATCCCGAATCATGATGATAACAAATGAATTTCAGTCAAATATTTAGTAAAATCATCAATCGGGATGGGCTAAGTCACACTCCCCAGTAGTGAAAGACCACACGTTCATCATCCAGCGCGTATCTTGCCTCAATATAGCACTACGATGGGTAATCCGGGGCTTCAAACCCTCAGGACATCATTTACAACCATTACTCACCTCGAACTAGCTAATTCTCTAGCTCTCGACGCCTTTACCCCTCGAATTGGCCTCCACGCGCGTCGAATATATCCAAAATCAGAACGAATACGTCACAATATGCTAAGGGAACAAAGCCCAAGCGAAAACATTCGAAAATATCAAAAATCTCGAAATTAGCAAAACCCGAGCCCCGGGACCACGTCTCGGAATCGGGTAAAATTTTACATTTTCAGAATCCTCATACCCTCACGAGTCTAACCATACCAAAATTATTCGATTCCGATACCATTTGGTCCTTCAAATCATCATTTTACATTTTTAAAAGGTTTCACAATTTTCTTCCCAAATTTCATCTCAAATCACGAATTAAAGGATGAATTCAGTGATAGATTCATGTATTCTAAACAAATCTGAGTTAAAATCACTTACCCCGATTAATTTCTTGAAAAACCTTCGAAAAATCGCCAAAATTCGAGCTCTCTAGGTCAAAATATTAAATAAAACCCAAAACCTCGTATTTATAGGTACCCCTCAGGTTTCAGCTACCGCTGGCCGCACCAAAACTCACGCGGTCCGCGCAAGCCAGTGCGGTCC